ATATATATATATGTATATATATAGACACATTCACACACACACACACACACACACAAAATATATGTATATAAAAAAAAATAAATATGAAATATATATTAAATAACATTAATAATCCTTTTTATTTTATTTAAAAAATAATTTTGAAAAATAAATTCTTTTATTGATTTCTCAATTCAAATTCAAAATTTATTTAAATATATAAATTTTTGTTCCCTTTATATTGTATGATTTAGTAACAGATATATAAAACAAATATGTAAAATTCTATTGCATAATTATTAATGCATAAAATTGTCAAAAAATAAAAAAATTATTAATATATTTAAAATTATATGGTTGTTTTTTTCACTATAAATTTAATATAGATTTAAAATTTTAAAAACCAAATATATAAAAATTTGAAACAATTCAGTCTTATTTTACTGGATTTTTCTAGTATATGTGAAAAATTACTTAAATGAATTTAATTTATCTTAATGATAAAATAATGAAATAATTATTTTAAATATTTAATTATTATATAAAAGAATTTTAATAAAACTATAAAATGCTTTTTTTATTTAACTAAATTTTTTCAAATTTATATATTGTATAATATTCATAACTGAAAAAATAAATTGTTACGCACATAATATATGAAGTAAAATTTTATATATGAGACAATTTGTTTAATATATTATACAAAGTACAAATAGTCTAATATTTATTTTCATAGTGACTTTTATATACATAAACAATTTTCAACGATGAAAATTTCATAAAAATAACATAACACAATATATAATATTTATATAATATTTATATATTATGTTATAATTTCTATAAAATTTCATACTTGTTACGTCTCTTACATTTTTTTACATCTATCTTAATAATAAATAGAAACCTGTTAAATGAAACATAAAAAAAAGAGTATACAAATATTTTTTGTTTTTCAAAATTTGAGAAAATAATAAAGTATATTACCATAATATGTACACTTGATAAATTATTTTATCACAATATGGAACGTCGTTGCAATAGATTTGGATTGATCAATTTTTGATCATCCATGATTTTTATCTGTATATATTATAGGCAAACGTACAAATTATGTAAAATATATTCACATAATATATGTGTATAGATATTTTGTAAAGAACTTCATTTTGTACAAATTATCTGCGCAATACATATTCCAAAGTAATATTTTAAAGTACTTCCATACTGTCTATGTCTATTCCAATATCAAGGAAATCATCTCCATAGTTTTGAACATGCCTTTGTACAAGTGGATGCTCTGAATGATCTGGATCATCTGTTACAGGACTTGGTGGTGGATTAGTCATTGTTCGATCAGAATCCAGTGGCATTCTATCCATACCTTCTCCACGCCTCAATCTTGCTTCTTCTGCAATTTCTCTTGTAGAAAGTTCTGCTTTTGTTAGTAAAGCAGGAAGATCTTTTTCTGAACCATCTATAAACATTAAACATATTTTTATTATATTTATATTTTAAAAAATTCTTATTCTTCTTTCTACTATGATATAATAAAATAACTTACTTTCTAGACATTTTATTAATTCTTGTGCTTTTTGTCTTCTTGCAGCAGCATCAGCTTTTCTTTGTTCAGCATGTTCTTTTTTATCATAATAAAATATCTCCCTTATTTTTTCTCGTGGGATATGTTCATCATTTTTCACTAACCATAAATATACACCTCCTGCAGTTCTTCTTCTAGATCCATTCATTATTAACATACCACCTCCTTCTTCAATCTTTTTAGTTTTTTGAAAAAAATCAATAGCTTTTTCTTTACCAATTATATCTACAATTCTTCCTATAAAATAAAGATTTAAATAACTAAGTATATATATATTAATTTAAAATAGCAAAAAATTTCTTACTTATAAGGAGATCTTTTTTCTCACTAAGTTTTGATGTTATATCAGTAGCAACATCTGCATCAGTTGATTCAACTGTTGTACTTAAATCTGCAATTTTACGTGCAATTCCTTTTTGGTTATCTATATCCATTGAATTACGTTTTTTTCCTAATCTCAATTTAATATTACTTCTATCTGAATTTGTTCTTTTATTTGTCAGTCTCTTTTCTCCATCTTTTTCATCTTCTGAACTATTATTATTGTGATGCTCCATATTCCATGTACCATTATAAGAATAATGATGTGGAATGTTATAACTCTCAACATTACGTTCTTGATTTCGCTTTTTTGTTACACCACATAATATTAGATCTTCTGTTAAAGATTCTTCTTGTAATTGAGTACACCATATTTTATATTTATCATTTTTGTCCGACCAATTTTTTGTCATACTTCTAGAACGCCTTAGTTTTAATTTAGGTCTTTTACTTTTAATATGTTCAGAATCTGAATCAGAATCACTTTCAGAATCTGCAGAATCATCAGATTCATCACTATAACCCATTTTTATATTTTCTTCTTTATTTGAAACTGCATGAGGTCTTTTTAAAACATTATACGTTTCAATATCGCTTGTCTAAATAAAAGTATATTATAATTAATAAATATAGCTTATAAAAAATTATAAAAAATTAATTTAATTTTACAAAATAAAAAAATTTTGCAATATTATAATTAAAATAACATATAAAAGAATACTTTATTCAAATAATACATCAATTAAATTAATTCTAATTTAACTACAAAGTTTAATATTAGAATACGATAATCGTTATGATTAAAATAGGTTAGATTCATATTAAATATAAAATTATACAATATTTCTTTACCTCATTATCTATAACTTCACCATCTTCAAGTTCTAAAGGTTCTGCTTCCATATTTCTCTTCTCAAAAATTACGATTTTTTTCAATAAATAATTATTGAATGAAACTATAATCATACATCACCTTCGTAGAAGATCTTTTTTTCTAAGCAATCTTAACGATAGTTTTTTTCACAATTCCATCATTGCCACCACCATCGCTATGTATTCTCTACATTTTGTTTAGTGATTTCTATAGGTCAATTTAATTTTCAGTTATTAATATAAATTTTTATACACAATAAAAAGATAAATTTAAATTTTAATTAAAAAAGTTGCATTTATTATTAATACTACATTATTAATAACATAAACTTATAATAACAATATATATAAACTTATAGTATTATATTATCATTTTTTTTATAGTGAATTTTATTATCGTTAAATTTTTGATACTGGTATAGTTTATAGATGTAGTTCTCATATCCTATCTTTTGAATTTTGCACTTAAATTGCAATTTTTATATTTTTTATAATTATTAAATTTTTTCGAAAAAAAAAAATTAAATTTATTACAAACAAAAATGATTTCTATATCTTTTTTAAAGTG